ATCCAACCAGATTTAATAAGTGAAGAGTAGAAGGGAGAGAAACAAATTGTAATATTATGCCATATTAATGGAATTATTAGAAATATTTCTAAATTTGTATTACAGATAATTCACATTAATCGGTGCCCTTAGGCACCCGTGAGAAAAACCAATTTAAAATTAGTGCCCCAAAGCTTTCACATTTTAAAATTAGTTTCCAAAATTTTTAGGGAAAAATGTGTACAGGCCCCAAAAGCAGAAACTTCATGTGACGAGGCCTCTCATAGTTTTTCTCATGTGAATCAGCCTCTTGATGTGTGACACTTTGTACTACAGTACTTTTTTATTAATTATTACATATCGGCTAAGCTAAAATCCCCAAATTATCTTTATCCTCTCTCCTCAATCCCTCAGACCCAACACTCATATCCTCTCTCTCTCTCTCTCATCTTCTCTCTCTCTCTCTCTCTCTCTCTCTCTCTCTCTCTCTCTCTCTCTCTCTCTCTCTCTCTCTCTCTCTCTCTCTCCTCTCTCTAAAACTAAGAGCTTTCTCAAGCTCATCACCCTGGCCCTCGCCCTCCTCGCCATTGCCGCCTCCGCTCAGGCCCCCAATGCTCCCCTCGAGTTCGCCGCTGCCTCCCCTCCCCTCACCCGTCCGCTTGAGAAAAACGCTCGAAAAAGCTCGGGCAATTAAGACTGTTGAGGAGTGCAGGGAGATGATCCGAAGGTATGATGTTAATGGAGATGGTGTTTTATGCTTTGATGAATTTAAGAAGATGATGCTACGAGAGTAGGTTGGTTTTTGAGATTGATCTTTACCGTAAATGATGATGTTGTTGTGCCCCGCTGAGATTTGGATATTACTTTTTTTTTATTTGAGATGACTTTGATCAATTGAGGGTTCATGTTGATAATATATCTACGTTTTTAATTTCTCACATGACGGTGGATTTATCCTTATGAGCTTCTGTATTTGTAAATTGTGACCGATTCTGTTGTGGATGTTATTTTAGTCACCAGGCCGAGACGCACAGAGCATTAATCCAGCTAGAAGAATAAAAGAAAAAAAAGAAAAAAATGTTTGACCAGCTACAAATAAATGAACGGTTTAATTTTAAAAAATAGTCAAAAGTTGTCCCCATTTTTTCACTTTCACGAGACATCCACGCCTTTTTGGAGGAAGCTGAATTTGCACCACTTTCACGAGACATCCACGCCTTTTTGGAGGAAGCTGAATTTGCAATAAACCTAATGTGCGCAATCTTTTTGTATTTTAATTTGAATTTGCAATAAACCTAATGTGCGCAATCTTTTTGTATTTTAATTTCGAACAAAATTTTAAAATAGACTACTTTTAAAACTTAATTAGCAAAATAGGCTGAAAAAATATTTAATTACCAAAAATCGCTGTAAGCTGGGACGGTAGTTATAAATCGTTGTTATAAATGAGGATACAGTCATGTTTTTATAAACCGTTGTTAATTATATTTGATAAAAGTTATACCTAATGATATGTTATTTCTAGATGCTATCGTGGTAGTTTTAGTAGCCCTCGAGTTAGTTTTAGCTGCTACAATTGTTAATTCTGGCTACTAAGTTACTTCTAACCGCTACTTGTTATTTTTGCTTCTATCTTAGTTCTAACTTTTATTACCCTAGTTCTAGCTTGTATATAGCCAGTTCTAGCCCACACCTTACTAGTTCTAAACTATGCCCGTGTTTTTTACCTTCACACTTGTTAATTCATGCTTCTACGTTAGTTCTAGCTTCTATTACCATAGTTCTAGCTTATATACAGCCAGTTCTAGCCCACACCTTGCTAGTTCTAAACTCAACAAATGGTTTTTTACATGCACACTTGTTAATTCTAGCTTCTAGCTTAGTTCTAGTTTCTATTACCCTAGTTCTAGTTTGTATACAGCCAGTTCTAACCCACACCTTACTAGTTCTAAACCCAGCCTTCGTATTTTACCTTCACACTTGTTAATTCTTGCTTCTACGTTAGTTCTAGCTTCTATTACCATAGTTCTAGCTTGTATACAGCCAGTTCTATCTCATACCTTACTAGTTCTAAACCCAGCCCGCGTTTTTTACATGCATACTTGTTAATTCTAGCTTCTAGCTTAGTTCTAGCTTCTATTACCCTAGTTTTAAATTGTATACAGTCAGTTCTAGCCCACACCTTGCTAGTTCTAAACCCAGCCTTCGTATTTTACCTTCACACTTCTTAATTCTTATTTCTACGTTAGTTCTAGCTTTTATTACCCTAGTTCTAGCTTGTATACAGCCAGTTCTAGCCCACACCTTGCTAATTCTAAACCCAGACTTCGTATTTTACCATCACACTTGTTAATTCTTGCTTCTACGTTATTTCTAGCTTCTATTATCCTAGTTCTAGCTTGTATACAGCCAGTTCTAGCCCACACATTGCTAGTTCTAAACCCAGCCCGCGTGTTTTACTTTCACACTTGTTGATTCATGCTTCTACGTTAGTTCTAGCTTATATTACCCTAGTTCTATCTTGTATACAGCCAGTTCTAGCCCACACCTTACTAGTTCTAAACCCAGCCCACGTTTTTTACATGCACACTTGTTAATTCTAGCTTCTAGCTTAGTTCTAGCTTCTATTACCCTAGTTCTAGCTTGTATACAGCCAGTTCTAGCACACACATTGCTAGTTCTAAACCCAACCTTCGTATTTTACCTTCATACTTGTTAATTCTTGCTCTACGTTAGTTCTAGCTTCTATTACTCTAGTTCTAGCTTGTATACAGCTAGTTCTAGCCCACACTTTACTAGTTTTAAACACAGCCCGTGTTTTTTACATGCACACTTGTTAATTCTAGCTTCTACCTTAGTTTTAGCTTCTATTACCCTAGTTCTAGCTTATATACAGTCAGTTCTAGCTTATATATAAGCTAGAACTAGGGTAATAGAAGCTAGAACTAACGTAGAAGTAAGAATTAACAAGTGTGAAGGTAAAATATGAAGGCTGGGTTTAGAACTAGCAAGGTGTGGGCTAGAACTGCCTGTATACAAGCTAGAACTAGGGTAATAGAAGCTAGAACTAACGTAGAAGCAAGAATTAACAAGTGTGAAGGTAAAATACAAAGTCTGGGTTTAGAACTAGCAAGGTGTGGGCTAGAACTGGCTATACACAAGCTAGAACTAGGGTAATAGAAGCTAAAACTAACGTAGAAACAAGAATTAACTAGTGTGAAGGTAAAATACGAAGGCTGAGTTTAGAACTAACAAGGTGTGGGCTAGAACTGACTGTATACAAGCTAGAACTAGGGTAATAGAAGCTAGAACTAATCTAGAAGCTAGAATTAACAAGTGTGCATGTAAAAAACGCGGGCTGGGTTTAGAACTAGTAAGGTGTGGGCTAGAACTGGCTGTATACAAGCTAGAACTAGGGTAATATAAGCTAGAACTAACGTAGAAGTATGAATTAACAAGTGTGAAGGTAAAAAACGCGGGCTAGGTTTAGAACTAGCAAGGTGTGAACTAGAACTGGCTGTATACAAGCTAGAACTAGGGTAATAGAAGCTAGAACTAAGGTAGAAGCAAAAATAATAAGTAGCGGTTAGAACTAACTTAGTAGCCAGAATTAACAATTGTAGCAGCTAAAACTATCTCGAGGGCTACTAGAACTACCACGATAACATCTAGAAATAACATATCATTAGGTATAACTATTATCAAATATAATTAACAATGATTTATAAAAACATGACTGTATCCTCATTTATAACAACGATTTATAACTACCGTCCCAGCTTACAATGATTTTTGATAATTAAATATTTTTTCAGCCTATTTTGCTAATTAAGTTTTAAAAGTGGTCTATTTTAAAAATATGTTCGAAATTAAAATACAAAAAGATTGAGCACATTAGGTTTATTGTAAATTCAGCTTCCTCCAAAAAGGCGTGGATGTCTCGTGAAAGTGGAAAAATGGGGACAACTTTTGACTATTTTTTAAAATTAAATCGTTCATTTATTTGTAGTTGGTCAAACATTTTTTCTTTTTTTCTTCTAGCTAATCTATGCATCTCGGCCTGGTGACTAAAAGAATATCCACAACAGAATCAGTCACAATTTACAAATACAGAAGCTCATAAGGATAAATCCACAGTCATGTGAGAAATTAAAAACGTAGATATATTATCAACATGAACCCTCAATTGATCAAAGTCATCTCAAATAAAAAAAAAGAAAAAGTAATGTCCAAATCTCAACGGGCACAACAACATCATCATTTACGGTAAATATCAATCTTAAAAACCAATCTACTCTCGTAGCATCATCTTCTTAAATTCATCAAAGCATAAAACACCATCTCCATTAACATCATACCTTTGGATCATCTCCCTGCGCTCCTCAACAGTCTTCAATTGCCCGAGCTTTTCGAGCGTTTTCCTCAAGCTCTACGGCGGCGATCTACGGCGCGATGAGGACAGGTGGAGGAGGGGAGGAGAGGCGACGACGAACTCGAGGGGAGCCTTGGGGGCCTGAGCGGAGGCGGCAACGGCGAGGAGGGCGAGGGCCAGGGTGACGAGCTTAAGAAAACTCTTAGTTTTAGAGAGAGAGAGAGAGAGAGAGAGAGGAGATGAGAGAGAGGAGATGATGCTGGGTCTGAAGGATTGAGCAGAAAGGATAAGGATAATTTGAGGATTTTAGCTTAGCTGGCATGTAATAATTGATAAAAAAGGCTGAAATACAAAGTATCACACATCAAGGGGCTGATTCACATGGGGAAAAGTATGAGAGGCCTCGTCACATGAAGTTTCTGCTTTTGGGACCTGTACACATTTTTCCCAAATTTTTAAGTATTTTAAAATTACTCTCCAAGTCTTCGTATTTCGAAATCAGTCTCCTAAATCTTTTTAGCGTTTCGAAATTAGTCAGGAAAATATTCTATCTAGAAGTAAGCTCAAAATATTTAGGTTTGTGGGGACCTTTTAGATAAACAGAAGTACAGGCTGGCACCTTTAAGGATACAACTCATAGACAATAGACTGATGCCAAGTCCGCTGACACATCATCATCAACATCCTGGGCTCCACTTTTTGGGCCCATCTGGGTCTTGATCCTTCACCATGCCG